TCACAGCATCAACCTGGGCCACTGCATTCAACTACAGGACACCATCATCCTCTCCACCAAATCTAGATACATGGACTGCATGATCAGGGGGGCCAATGAGATTGAGCTACATCTGAACATCAAGAACAGGGAGAATGGCCTTTGCCTGAGCTGGTTATGGCAGCCCCTCATTAACTCTCACAAAGGATGTAGGAAGCATCCGATACACCAGTGCTGACCTGGCCACTAGCCATTACGCTGTTGTTTTCAATAAACCACTAGGCCCCGGCCAGTCCTTATTTCCTACCTCTAATCTATCGTGTTATTCCATCCATTTTTCCAGGTATACTCCTTCATTCCTTGTCCTCATCATCACATACACCCAACTCCTTATGTCTGATGATCCACCCTGAGGAGCCCCTATACTGATGGCTTTCTTGGACCACTCTCTCTTGCATTTCCATCCCCCTCCTGCTGGCCAGGCTGTGGTATGCCCACCTCTTAAACCGGCTCCCAGGCCAAAGCCTCATCCTGACACAATTCCTCACTAGTCTGGCAAAGGCCTTGCTTGACTGACTGGTTCCTGTATCTCAAACTGATTACATGTGCACTGCTTACTCATTGCCCTGATGATGAAGGCAGGTAGGACCTCTGAAATGTTTTTAGATAACCTTCTACTAGACTACATGGCACTACAACCCAGAAGACAGTCATCTTCATCACAGCTCTTGTTAGGGTACTGAAGGAATGGTCATCCTTCTTCAAAACCCTATGGCCCTTCTTTCAAATATGGACATGAATACAACAGAAACTAAATGACCTCAGCATACCATTTGAGACCTTCCCATCTTGATACATCTAAAATCTGTCATCAAAATACTGAAATGATGACAGACTTAAGAGGTGGCCTTTAGATGGAAGGACTTGAAAGTTTGTACTATTCTAACACAACATATAAATCCCATAAAATATTTTTGTGACAACAACTCATATATGAGGGGTTTAAAAGCAAAGTCAGCAAACTCCAAATTATCCACAATTTGATAAAAGCACAAGAAACACTTAAGGGCACTTGGGATGATATTCAATTTTTTTTTCCTCTACACAGCATGACATTCAACATGTGTACTTAAAATTTGAAATACACGTGATTATTTGCCCGAAATTAAGTTTTTAAATATGAAGAATGCTGGCCTTGCTTTGCATTGAGGACATTGCTGAATTTGAATTGCACATACAACATATATCATAAAGTCTGTTTATATAATACTAAATACAAACTGAACATTTTTTCATTGTTGCAACTGAATTTCTTCTGGCTGTTATATGTACCACATCAAACAATCAGTTCGCAGACTCAATAAGAGGACAGTAAAGATTCTCTTCCTCTTAGTTGCTGCAACTCCCCAGTTGAGAGGCTGAGATTACTGTAGCATAGAATTGTAGGCTACTATGTTTCCCATCCTTCACCATAATGATTTTCCAGAAGTTTCTGAATGCCCTTCAGTTTCATAACACATTTTCCTGCTTCAGGGTCCAACATGTACAAACCTCTTCTTTTTTTATCACTCTTTTAAAACGTCTTGATCTGCTTTTATAATATGGTTCCCCTTGGACTGGTACATTTGTACCAACCATTTGCACAGAGAAAGGTGAAAGTGTCATAACCCTCATAGTTTTATGTTATTCGTTGTTGCCTCTTACCAGTTAATCCTGACAATCACTTCCCAGCATAGCTACTATCATGTGTATCAAATCTAAAACTTCTTGACGATGGTGAAGAGTCAATTGAATAAAAATTTACTTGGATATTATCCATCGTCTAGTAAATATATTATATATCTATTTACTAGACGATGGATAATATCCAAGTAAATTTTTATTCTACTATCATGTGGTTTCCCATTATATTTGTTTTTTCTTTGGAATCTACAATGAATTACACACACCTCACTTTCTTTTCAATATTTCTGAAGACACCATCAGGTGGTATGAAGCAATGGGGAACACCAGTTCAATCACTTCAATGTGGTTTGGTGCACACATTGGTCTTAGGCAGCACATTCTTATTGCTATGGAGTTCTTATTCTGCCCACCATGTCTATCCACAATTAGGTAAAGCTTTCTTATTGGTAAAGTTGCTTTTCTTAAGCTATCATAAAGTGCAGAGGCTTTCACATACTCACCCTCCATCAAGCAATGGCTGTAGGCACTACCAGATGATACCAGATTTTCTGTAAAATAACGCTGGTAAATTTCTAAAATTACACAAATATAGCTGGCAGCTGTGGTAAACCATCTGGTTAGGAAGCTTAGGGAGAGGAAATTTCTCTTGGCAATCAAAACTGAGCATAAGGTCAGGTCTTGGCCCCTTAACAAGATCAAGAAATGCCTTTGCTCTGAGAGCATGCACTATCTTTGCTGCTATAAGGTTTGATTTTTTTCTGGGTCCTCTTCTTTGCTGTTAATTCCAGACACCTGGAGCACTAAACTGTTGTAGGATGACCATATTCTATGTTGCACTCCAAACTGAATACTATGCAAAAGAATCCTGACTTTACTCTTAGTTCCATTCGAGACTTGCAACACACTTTGCTAATAATTAAGCTAGATGACAGGTACAGCCAGACTGATGTTCCACTCTGCAGTGAGCTTCAATGCATTTGTATTTCTTAATCAATTTTATAACTAAATGTCTTCTGTCTTCATACTTCTTATTTATATGGTCACCACCTTTCCCTTCTACCAGGGGCCCTCCAGTATCTGCACACATTTTGACAACAGACTTCACAGAACAGTTCTCAACCTGCAATAAACAGTCTGAGGAAAGCCTTTTTGACAAACAAAAATGACAGTGAAATATATAAAATCATGCATACAAACAAAACTGTTTACACTTGAAAAACACGTAGTGCCAAACGCGTTTTGACCTCATGAGGTCATCATCAGTGGCAAAAACATTAATTCATTAGTCTATTAAATCATACAATTCATAAGACAACGGTTTGTTATAAAGCACTGAGCATGAAAAGGTCGCACTTTACAAAACCATACTTCATGTAATACCACACTGAACGTTTAATTGAACATGAGTTGGTGTATTATCTTAAGTTGAGTAACTTAGTTTAATGCTAAGCTTGAGGTTTCCATTGCTGGTATATGGTGAGCAGTGGTTTCGTAGTCTGTGCCCGGATTGTGAACTTCAATGTGGTGTGGGTATTATTGTGTTTTTAAAAATAAGTGTGCAGGGTTTAAAATCTTTCTGACCGAACAGTGTGGCCATCTATTGCATACAACATTTAACTTTGTTTCTGTTTAGTACCAGGTCAAATAACGCATTAGAGTCATGGGTGATGTTTATGTTTATGATGTTTAGCGTTTTGCTAGTTTTATAGATGCAGAAATTTTCTAAAATGTCAAGCATTTTGCCTTTTGAGGCTATTCTCAATAAGTCCATGATATCTTCCATAGGGCGTATTCATGTCTGTGACGAGGATGTGTTAAGAGTATTTTGATCTGGTCAAGTTGAATCTAATGTCATGGACATGCTCTTTAAATCTGGTTTTAAATTCCCTACCCTCAGTGCTTTATAACAAACCATCGTCTTATGAATTGTGAATGAATTAATGTTTTTGCCACTGATAATGACCTCATGAGGTAAAAGTACGTTTGGCACCAAGTGTTTTTCAAGTGTAAACAGTTTCTTTGTATGCATGATTTTAAATATTTCAGATGAACACTGCACAGTATGCAAGGTTTTCAGAAATGACAGTCCTACCAAAGGTCCTGGTATAAAATAGTTTGGAAAAGCTTTGAATGTATTTCAAGTTCTATGGTAATTTTTGCAATATGGGGTTAACAGAAACATATTTCAGCAAAAATGCATCCTGTTTCAGTTTATCAACATATCTGTAGAAGATACTGTCAAAGTCTTTGACTTCCTTCATTGTCAATGTGGTACACTAGAAGGTATCTCGTTTTCTGGTTGCATGTTGAAAAATGGGAAAGACAGGTCTTTAAATACCTGCATGAAAGATCCCAGTAAAATTCAGTAGTCTTTACTGAAATCACTCGGTAAAGAAAAGAAAACAAGAGAATTACACTAAAACCATTATTCAAACTAACCTCATTTTCTTTGTTTCACTCCTCTTCCACTTGCGTGGCTGTTCAATGCATTTCCATGTCTTTGTTGGTGTAACTTCTGTTGCTCAAACTTCCATACTTTATCTTAAACTTAAAACACATATGAGAAAGTAGGAAAGGAGAAGCGGCTCACACAAGCACATTTCGGACACTCTTAACACGCAGGAGTTTAAAACCTAATGTCTGCCACTTTGTTACATGACCATTTTAAGTGCATCCATTAGTTGTGTTAGAGGATGATGAACCTGAATTAAACTAAAGCTTGGAGATTGTTGTTTTTCCTTTAGAGGTAAACGTTTGCAACTTAAAAATCAACGCATATTGATAGTTTAGAAGAAAATGAATTACATAATGCAATTTTATAACTTCAAGAGAATCAGTACTGAACAGGAAATTCTACTGCTCTCGTAACTTTAATTATAAAATCATGTCCTAACAAAGGCTAGTCACTCGATTGTATAAAACTCATTAAGAAGAGAATAAGTGAGTTACACAATTACCTTACAACTATGAGATAGCGTCTGTGTTTATGTGCCTTCTTCACATGCTCTCACAGGACACTGCACCATTCCTAAATAATTTTAATTTGGCAAAACCATATTCCCTTCCTTGATGGATGGAAACCGTGGATAAGTCACCCATACTGTTCATCATCATGCATTACTTTAAAAATTAGTAATATGGGGTAACATGACAACTTATGAACAATACCCTTCTATCAATGTGTCCAGTACTTCCACTTTTGACATGTGATACCTTTTGGCCACATGTTCAATTAATAGTTCTAAGTGTGGCATGATGTTACAGAGATATAAGTGAAGATTAACTTCTTCTTAAAAAAATGACATAAACGTCAAGCATTAAGTGGTGACACTCACCTTTTGAAGAACATGTTCCTGGGAAAAATAATATAAAAATAATGGAGATATAAACATCATTATGAAAACACTCAGGAATCTCTTCTTTATTGTGGATGGATGGTCCCTACAATATAAAAGCAAAATTACACTATGATTTTTTTCGAAATAGAATAATGTGCACTGAAGCTGCCTGTAGCATAATTTATACTGTATTAGCAGTTCTCATAATTCTACAAAAACTATTACCGGATTTAGGGAGTTCATCACTTTTGTGCGATACATTTGGCAACACTGTCGCATGCGAACAGCGAAAATAATGGTTGCAATTTGTGTAACTTGTGTAAAATCTGTAGGAGACGGTAATATTTTTACCTGCTGTGTGGAGACTTCCATATATACAAACTTGCAACATAGACAACAGAGAGAAGAAAGCATGCTCCTGCAGTTGTTAAACAAATATATTCTCTAAGTATGTAGCTCTCCATACTGACATTACTGTAGTCACGTGATTAAAGGAAGCTTCTGTATTGGTCCGTCAGTGAACTGCCCTCTGAATGAGAAAATGGCTGCCTGGGTTGATGGAAGGGTATTCTTTGTTTAGGACATTCTATGGTGAAAAATAAAGGAAAATATAAAATGCCGAGTGCATCTTTCACATCATCGCGTTCATGTGTAAGGAGATCACGAAGAAAGGGCGCTAATAGGATATCACTTCCATCACGATCGAGTTCTGGTAAGCTGGAAGATTGTTTCTGCTCAAGACCAAGTGTTTGGACTCGTCCTAGGTCCATGTCAAGTGACAGATTACTGCAGTGTTTGTTATAACGAATTGTATTTTCATGCAGCATTGTACCAGTAAAGTTAATTCAGAGAAAATGATATGCTCCATAAAATGTTAATAAATCGTATGATCATCACATATCCAAATTTAACCTTTACTCCCAGGTTTTAATTAAAAGTCTCAAATCATGAATATAAAAGAGGCATAGCATTGTATCAGACTTCATATGTTCACACCATGCAATTTCACTCGCATTGTAGTCCGTTTGTATGTGATTTGATACATAATTACCAAGTTCATACAATATAATTTTCAGAATGTTTTCCATAATTTGAAACAAGATGAATTGTATTTGTATTGATTTTTACCATAAATTCATATTTCCTCATTCTGTAATTTCAGACAGTAATGCGTACAAACTAGTAACAGTTAACATTTAGAATGAGAACAGCCTGAAATTATGGGTGTAATTATTGCACTAGTTAAGTTGGCAGTAAATTAAAGAGAAGTAGCCACTTCTGTATACCATCATTCCACTCAAATGTACAGATATAGTTGTTTTTTAACTTAATGTCTAATACGATGTACATTGGTGTAGCTTATCGTTTACATGTGGAAGCATAACTTTTGCAATATGTTCTGGACAAGAAAAGTAAGTCAAAATTTCCTTGATGATTCCTGTCTTTTAGAATGGAATAGAATAGCATTTTTTTACATTCCATAGATCCTTCATAGGCCTAAGCCAAGGATGTAGAACAGGTTATAGCACAAATACAATACTTGTTTCTAGTACAAATGTAAATACATAGTTGTAACAGCTATTTAAAGATTTTTTAAACTACAGTATTACAGCAAAATAATTATGATGAGAAACCATCACCATTGTTACTTATATGTGTTTATAATAGTTGAGACTTTTTGGTTTATGTAAATTCTTCTACTGAGTAGGAGTGCAATAGGAGATACTCTTTTATCACTGGCTTAAACATTTTTATATCGTGGTTTAAACTTTTGATAGTATGTGAAAGATTATTGAATAACTTAATTCCAGTATAGTAAACTCCTTTTTAATATTTACTGAGGTTAGAATTTGGCACATGAAGATTGTCCTTATGTTGTGGATATCTGAATTTGTTTGAAATTTTTCCATGTTATCCACTAAAAATGATTATAGTTAGAGCAAGAATTCGCTGGGTATTGGAAGAATATTAAACTTTTTAAATAATTCCCTGCATGAGGCTCTCCTTTTAGTGTCTGCCATTATTTAATGATCCTCTTTTGAATGTAAAATACTTTTTTGCTGTCCATTGAATTTCCCCAGAAAATGATTCCATAACTTGATGGAATGGAAGTAAGCATAATAAACTGATTTTAAAGTTTCTGTTTTCATGAGTGCTGCAACTGTCCTCATAGCAAAACATGGCGAGCTTAGTTTTGGGATAATGTGTTGAATATGTGTTTTCCAGTTTAATTTGTTGTCAGTTTGTAGGGGAAGAAATTTTGTTGTTTCTATTTCCTCGATTATTTTATCATCATGCCCTATAATTAGATTTACACTAGTGCTGTTGTTGGTACAAAATTTCATTAAATTTGTTTTGTCAGAATTTAATGTGAGTTTATTGGTTATGAAACATATGGGTCTTTTTTGTGGAAATGTATAGGATTATGCATACTGTTGTATAACATTGGAATTAAAATGAGTTTTTGCTGTAGGAGAATACTGTTGTCATTCTTAGATAGCATTTGCTTCATATTCTTGTGTTACTAGTATGAATGAATGTTATTTTGCTTTTGATGGTTTTGTTGATTAGTCATGTTCATACTGGTAATAATGTAGGTTTCTAATTAAATATGACGTGGCTGCATGTGGAATGCAACCAGGGGCACGTACACAAACACAATGTTATTGTAAATATTCATGTTATTGTCTGTGTCAGTACCTTACATGTCTGCAGGTATTGTCATTTGGTTGTTCTACTTAAATATACACAGCATGGAATTTTTTTTAACATGGAAATTATTTTGCTCTTTTTTGTTTTAATTTTAGTTCATGTTGTGGCTATTTTAAATTAATAATGAGCTTCATATGTCATGTTCCTAGAAGAACCATGTGAGCTGCCATGTCAAGAACCAAATCAAAGTATGCCTGGAGCAGGCAGTACAACAAGCAGTTCTACTGCAACAGGTGCCTCATCAAGTTCTGCAACCTCTACGGCTATGGCAGCTGCTGCTACAGCAGCATTCACTAGCAGTACTAATACTCCTGATGTAAATGGAGGCAGTGGTGGCAGCACCAGTGGCAGTAGTTCTAGCCATCATTCACCGTATGACCTGCGTCGGAAATCTCCGCCCCACCATTACGCTGCTGCTGGCACCAGTGGCACACCTGTTTCATCAGTCTTAGCTTCCACAAATTACTCTGCATCAATGCTCCCTGCTCGTAAAAGGCCACGTCGAACATGTTCAGTCACGAGTGAATGTGAGTACCTTTTTGTGGAATTATTTCTTCTTAAAATGAGGATTTGTATAATACAAAACATATATTTAAAGGTAGAAGGAAATGGTTTTTTTTTTTGCACACGGGAGACATAATTTCAAAGCTGATATTTATTGATATTTAAATTGAATGCCAACTCTGTCTATCTAACCTTCTGACATTTCACACTACATAATCTTTTTATTTGTTTTTTCACTACGTGTATTTTATTTATTTTGAAGCACATTGTTCACAAATACTTGATTTGTAATTTTCCAGCCAACAATAAGGGTGCATGTTATAAATGAGTAAATATGGTATTATGTGATTAATAATATTTTAAGACAGCTCTGTATTCTACATTCATAAGTATGTTTAAAATATGTTACATAATTAATTAAACAGTTACATTAGTATCTTTCAATTGTTTCTGGACATATTACTTGATTTGTGACATGTATTTCATTTTCTTGTCACCATTGGTGGACTAGTGGTTAGCATGCTTGTCACTGGACCCAAGGTTTGTGGGTTCAAACCCGACCAAGGACGATTCATTTTTAAGGGTGATAAAAATCTGTAGCACAACTTCCTTTGGAGGGGAGTGTAAAGCCGGCGGTCCCATATCATAGATTTACAGCATGTAAAATAACCTTACGAGCATGATACAAGTTGTTTTGTAAGCAAAATTTAGTTGTCATTTCTCACCCAAGTCTCTCCTGATTCACTACTAGATGGCTCTGGCAGTCAAAATCAGGATTGAGTAGAAATTGTGCAGAGTCAGTGGGCTGGTCACTCACTACTCACATAGACCAAGGAAACCTACAAAAGGAGGCCCTGTGCTATGGAAAATAGCGGTAGGAAATAAAGAAAGAAAGATTTAATTTTCTTGTGACTTTGATGTGTGTGAAAGAACTGTCACTGGTTTCCATTGTTTTATATATAATATATATTATTAACCTCTCTTTATTTTGTATATGACGTATATTATTAACGTCTCATTTTGTGTTTTCTAGCTTGTTCTGCTATCTCAGCAGCTCATTACTTGCAATATGAGTTGCCAGATGAGGTTCTCCTAACTATATTTGGCTACTTACTGGAACAGGATTTGTGTCGAGTGAGCCAAGTTTGTAAGCGCTTCCAAGCCATTGCCAATGACACTGAACTGTGGTATGTCATTATTGCAGTGTATGTTAAAATATTGTGGTAGTGTAGGTGTCATTAATTTGCCAACCCTTATAATGTGACATTGAGCTGTATTCAGGTGCTCATGCCTTGCTGCATACTGCAACATTAAGCTTTACTCCATACCAAAGAATAATTTCCTCCTCATTCCATGAAATTCAATTCTGCTTCCTGAGTTATGAAGTCACAGTTTTGTTTATCTGTGTAGTGCTGGTTTGAACACTTTTGTGAGTAATGTTGTCATGGGATTGTCATGCTGTTGCTACTTTAATGTTTTGAATGTAATTTTGACACTTGCAGCAATGTTTCTCAATTTTAAGCAGCTAGAAGTTTCTGAAAAAATTGTTTTATAAATTTAGTGTTTAGTATTTGTTTGGTGTGTCTGCAGATTTTACTGTAAAATTACATTCTTTTTAACTTAGCAGTAACAAACTAATGTGCAGCATAAGGGTAGTTTTTGCAGAAGGTTAATAATTTTATTCCGTGCAGGTAAGTTATAATGTCTGGGTTATTTTTTATGCTCTGAAAACAGGTGAACTAGCAGTGTTACTTTATGGTTTGACATACATTTCCTCCAGGAAGGTATGAGGAATATCATCTCAACCCAATCCTCTCTTGGTAATATTAGTACAGGTTTACACATCAGGTTGTGTTTGACATTGGATCTGATTCATGAAGCAGATTTCTTCTTTAGAAGCTAATGAGTCACTCCTAGTCAAGAAATTTTCTGCCGTGTGCACGGATTAAAGGTTTTCCATATCCCTATACTTTGTCTCCTTAATCACTTAAGTGATATGTTTCTGGGGCATTATCTCTCCCACAGTGGGTTATTACAACATTTAATTTTAGAAGTTCTCTGTTCTTTAAAATGCAACACTGTAGTTATTCTTTATTATAAAATTATGACTAAAAACTATTTTATAGACCAGTTATCAGAAATGTGTTTATATTTTAATTTACATGAGAGTTACTTGATTTTTTTCAAATGGTTACAAGTTTAACTTTATAAGTACACTGGTGATAGATTTCAGTTGCAGTAAAGTTGTCACTAATGTATTTTTGACTGAAGCATGATGCGGTCCTGAGTGTGGTCTATGTATTAGAAATGAAATTGCGATACAATTTTGACTAACAAGATGGTGGTCCACTGTATCAACGTGTAAACGTGTACTGTTATAGCTTCAGAAGGCTCTGTTTGATGCAGTTAAAAAGTTTTGTTCTCAAACTGAAATTAGAACCAGCTTGCTATAATTAGTGCTGTCAAATATTTTTTTATTTCTTTTAATTTCATGGTCTTTAGTTTGTCTTTGTATATGAACACTTTTTTCTAGATATTTTTTCCATCTTTAAATTTGTCTTCCTTTGTCTAGACAGGGACTGTTTGTCTCATTGCAAGATTCCCCCCCCCCAGATTGTATCTTTGTTTCAGAAGAGAAACCATTAGTTACAGAAATTTTTGTGCCATAGCACTGAGTATTTACATACTCATCTGGTCTAATTCAGATTTAGATTGACTCAAGTTAAATGATGTACTAAATATATATCATTATGAGGGGCTGTGTACCCTACATGACAAATGAACCTTCCCCATCATTTGAGATTTATCTGCTGACATGTCACCTTATCCAGAATGGCTACCAGAATCCCAAACTTTGCATTCAGGTGATATAGGTTGCCAGTTATACAATATTTTGGAACTGCAGGTGGCTTTGTTGTAACTGTTATGAACAAAGTGAAGAAATTTGAGTAGGTGAGACCAGTCAGTAACCCTTCCAGAAAAAGTGGATGTTACCTTCCTTTAGTCCTTATTATGACTTCATTATTAGGCTACTATTTGTGTAATTCATCTGTTTTAACTTGGTATGCTTTTAAAAGCTGTTGGGCAAGCCTGTTTGTTTCTCTGCTTATTAGTTTGGCAGATTCAGGTGTAATAAAAAGACTCAATATATTCCACTGGGTTATTGGGATCTTATAGAACACGTTTAGGTCACTCATCTCCTTGGATTAAAAAACTTAGCACCTTCTTGGGCTATATGTTTTGTTGTCACTGACTTTATCAACTTTGTTGGCTACTTACAGTTTTCAGTTTCATGTCAGTATCATCACTATATTTCACCACTTATACAAAATATCACTGCATTTATTATATAGCAATAACACTTTTATGAAGATTTGAAGGAACTTGAGACAAGACTGAGCCATTTGGAATGAGTAAGCAACTAATATGGATTTGAAATATTGTTAAAAGTCTCAAAAAATGGAAGAAAAAGTGTAGTGTTGGAAGTAAACGAAAAGAGGTGGAAAATGTAAATAAATTTGTCTATTTGAAATATATGTTAGAAAAAAATGGCAATTTCCAAGACTATATACATTAAAGATTGATTGTAAGACGCTAATATTCTAAAAGACCAAGTGCACTTATAGCATCCCCTCTCCACCACATGACCACTAGAAAAAATCTCCCAACCCCACCAACAATATTGATCATAAAACACTGAAAAATAAATATTTAACCATACCTTCTGTAGATCCTCCCCCGGAAGTGGAGAGTATTTGTGGAAAGCTGCCAAAAGCCACACTTGTCCATTTATGCAGAGAAGTCATGCACAGATTATCTGGAAATTGAATAATCCGCACATGGTTAATGTGGAATTAATTGTATGTGTATTATAGTCCATTACTGTATTCACAGGACTCTCGAACTTTTTCCTCCATGAACATGGAGGTCTTGAAGTGTACTTTTTATTTTAGTGTGTAAAGATAATTGATGCAACACTTTATTTCAGGAAAAACTTATACCAACATGTGTATGAGTACGACTTGCCTCTTTTCAACCCTGCACCATGTCGCTTTGAGTTCATGTCTCGAGAGGTCTCAGGACATGCCAACCCTTGGAAAGAAAGTTTCCATCAGTTGTACCGAGGTGTTCATGTTCGGCCAGGCTACCAAGACCTGACATTCCAGGGCCGCAATATTTCTTACTTCAATACAGTGCAGGGAGCCCTTGACTATGCGGATGAACGTGGAACGAGCTCTGGATCAGGTGATGGAAGCGATGGACATGGTGCTCTGGTGTTTCTTCACGCTGGGACATACCGTGGAGAGTTTCTTGTAATAGACTCTGATGTTGCGTTAATTGGGGCTGCCCCAGGCAATGTGGCGGAATCAGTCATCTTGGAGAGGGAATCAGAGTCCACTGTTATGTTTGTTGAGGGAGCCAAGCAAGCATATGCTGGTCATCTCACGCTCAAATTCTCTCCTGATGTGACATCCACTGTTCCACATCATAAGCATTATTGCCTGGAAGTTGGTGAAAATTGTAGTCCAACAATAGACCACTGCATCATACGTAGTACATCAGTTGGTGAGTGTCATAAGCATGTACTGTAGATATGCACCTACAAAACATACCTTTCTTTACAGATGTATATTTAAATAGATTATTTTATTACTCATCAAGTGAAAGTTTAGTGTGCTTTGGATGTAATTCCTTGATGTCACGCTTTCACTCTCTCTTGGCTTTATGTGCCATTTGCAATATGGTGGGAATGTCCATAGAACAAGTCTTTTGTCTTTGTTGTTTCAACTTGATCTTACGTGACTGCCTCAGATCATTATTCAACTCTTGTTACATGTTATAGGCACAGTTACAAACTTCTTTTTTGACTCATAAAATTTATATCTGTTATGTTTAAATGTAGAATATTACCACTTTTACCATATGCATTCCCACCAGTCACCACAAAGTATCACTGTGCATTCACAAACCAAGCAAGACCTGTCAGCTGTGGTGCACCTGGCAACTTTCTTGTCCATAGAGTGTCAATATGAAAATACTAATTTCCAAAGCTACTGTTTTGCTTTCATTATTTTACCACAATTTTTGTTGGTAGAACAGAGGCAAAGATGTTGGAATTGTGTATTGATATATCATAAGTTACATTATTGTGAATAAGGTAAAGGTAAAGTTGTCCCTTGTGTTTCAATTAAGCGTGAATACCATGGAAACATATGAGGGGAGGTGTAGAAGTATAGCTCCAGGCATTCTTAACTCGGTACTGTGGGGATGAGTGCAGCAGGAGACCCTAGTAGGGGCCGAGCCAGTAGTCGTTGCACCTAAATACGCAATGTGTAAGCCGTGAGAGGGAAGTTCAGTAGTAGTAGGGGTCAACACAGCCTCAGCTGTGGTGAGACTCCGATCTAAATACAGCTAGAGCTACAAACCAACTGAAGCTGACACCCCTCTAGCGTGTGCTTCGGATGGGTCCATCTCATACGATCAAACTCAGTCCTTTGCACAAATGCCAGCACTTCTCGCTTGGCCTCTACCAATTGAATAGGAGGCTGGATGGACGTTTAAAAGGGGTCATGGTCAATTACTTGCTGATTTTGCAGTATGGCAGTGGACCCTCCTCTGACTTTCTGATCAAAATGCTAGGTATAGACACTCAATTTCTTTGGAAAATATGGTTTTATTTTTCTTATTCACTGTATCTTTATATTCTCATAAAGTGTAATATTAGCACATCATCAGCATTAGTTGGGAATGGAAGACATGTCAGCCATGCTGTAAGGGTGCTACCACCTGAACTATCACAATCAACCAGGTCCCCTTGTTGGAGCTAGTCTGGAGACAGTGGCAAAAGGAAAAATAAACTGTGTGTACTCTACTGATTCTGGCAGCCAGCTTTCCCAGACATTGGAGTTCCCCACCTCCCCCAATATTTTGGAGATATAATATATCCCTGCTTTTAAGTTAAAGTAACAGTAAAGTTTGTGGCCTGGTAAATACATAATTCCTTGTGAGCCACTTGCTGTTTTAGTGTTTTTTACGTAAATATGTCTATATTGAAGGGTCATTCGGCAAAAAAGGGAAACGAAAAAGTGTAACCTGGTTACCTAGGAAACGTCGCGTTTACACGGAATTGTTGTTACCCAGGAAACGTCAATTGTTTACTCGGCATTATTGTTACCTAGGAAACGTCATCTGTTTACTCAGCATTGTTGTTACCTAGGAAACGTCATCTGTTTACTCAGCATTGTTGTTACCTAGGAAACGTCATCTGTTTACTC